GAGAGTATGAATATAGAGTATTAAATATGATATTAGTATTTTTGAATATTTTTTAATTAAAATTTAGTAGAATTTAGGAAGGAGGAAGTAATTTATAGTAGAAGAAATTAAAGAGATATAGAAGATAAGTGTTTTGAATGTGATTTAATTTTAATTTTAATTTTTAATTGAAAATATGGAATGGTAAATATATATGAATAGTATTATAATTTTAGTAATATTATGAAAGATTTTTAGTAAGAGTTATATTGGGTAAAGTTAAGAATTGGATTTGAGGATTAAGAAATAAGAATTAAAGAAGCAAGGAAAGAATTAAGAAATAATAAATGAATTTGTAATAATTAATGGTGAATTTTTTTGTAAAGACACACACACACAGAAACACACCTTCGCATCCACTCACACACACACACATATACACACACAGAAACACACCTTCGCATCCACTCACACACACACACACACACACAGAAACACACCTTCGCATCCACTCACACACACACACACACAGACACACACACACACATCCACTCACACACACACACACAAACACACCTTCACATCCACTCACACACACACACATACACACACACAGAAACACACCTTCACATCCACTCTCACACACACACACACACACAGAAACACACCTTCACATCCACTCACACACACACACACAGAAACACACACACACACACACTCACCTTCACATCCACTCACACACACACACACACAGAAACACACCTTCGCATCCACTCACACACACACACACACAGAAACACACCTTCGCATCCACTCACACACACACACATATACACACACAGAAACACACCTTCACATCCACTCACACACACACTGACTCTTGACCAGCCTCTCAGTTCTTAGGCCGCACCGCCTTACCAGTGACTTGGCAGTCCACTGGAGAAGGAACACAGGCCAATGCAGTTTCAATCTCAAAGTAAGTGTTTCGGATCCCTTGCCCAGAGTCGATGTCTTGATGCAGGAATTTGGAGATCGCTGGGTAAACACCATCATTGCAAACAAAGCGGATGATAAAAGCATCAGCAGAACCTGTAAAGCAAGAAGGCCCAGGTTTTAAGAAACAGAACAGTATTCATGACGCAGCCCACAAGCACAGTGCAGCAACAGGACAAGGCCACCACTGACAACAAGCTTCACAGCCGTTCGTGGGAACAATGACACCAGGACAGCAAGTCTGTATCGAGGGACTCGACATGAACAGAGTGGCCACACTCGCTGCAACGGTGGCCTATATTACGACAGGCTTAAACACTGACTGCAACAGTGGCCTATGTTAGGACAGGTTTACACACTCGCTGCAATGGTGGCCTATGTTACGATAGCTTTACACACTCACTGCAACAGTGGCCTATGTGATGACAGGTTCACACACTGCAACGGTGGCCTACGTTATGACAGATTTCTACCATGAGCCTAACATCCTAGCATTCCTACTCTTCTAGAAAATATTTAAATCCCACGAGTTTATCAATCCAAGCAACAGAAGACAATGTAACTCTAATCTGTTGGCTTACTGAACAAATACTAAGTTCCCACCACGTATAGGAACGAATGAAGCAGACGGAAACCCCTGCCCGCAGCTGTGCTGGTTGCAGAGCGAGCAGCAAGTACAAAGACTCAGGAGGGGAGGGTGGGGGAGACTGCACTTCGTTCATATCAGAAACAGTGAGGGCAGCAGGTTGAGCGGGAAGAGCAGGGGGTGATCATCTCAGAGAGCCCCCATGGGTGTCCCATGGCCGTACTATGGACGCTGGCTTCTACTCTAGGTGCAGTGCAGGGCCTCCGAGGGTTCTGAGCTGGGAAGTGATATGATGAGACATTTCAGAAACATCACTCTGATCGCTGTGTTGAATATGGGCTACAGCAGCCCCCCTTATCTGTGGGGGGATATGTTCCGAGACCCCCAGTGAATGCCTGAAATTGAGAACCCTATATATACTATGCTGTTTCCTATACACACATACCGAGGATGAAGTTCAATGTGTAAGTTAGGCACAGCAAGAGATTAACAATAAAACAGAACAACTGTAACAATACTTGTAATGAAAGTTACGTGAATGTGGTCTCTCTCATTCTTTCTCTCAAAATACCTTACTGTTTTCGGACCATGTGAGATCACAGAAAGTGAACCCGCGGATAATGGGACTCCTGTATGCGAGGTCAAACGCTGGAAGACCAACGTGGTGGCTCCTGCAGCAAGGTGGACAGCACAGCCCATGGTGACAGGGGAGCGTGCACATCCTACACTCAGGAAGCTGCATGGCCAGCCACAGAGCCACCAGGGCCCTTTGTAGCTACAAAACAACACGGCTCTGAGCTCACCTTTGGCAGAGACAGGCCCTTTGTAGGTCAGAGTGATGAAGCCCTCTGTAGACAGCTGGAGGCTTTTCTCAATTCCGACTGCCCTTTCTGGCTTCAGATTCTGGAGATCTTCAGTTTGGGATTCCGCCTCACAGCCAGAAGCAGGTTTTCCCTGGATGGTCCCACAGACAGGCATTGTGCCGCAGACATTAAACTGCAGATCAGATGGTAAGAGCCATACAAACAAATTGATGCCACGTATCTCCATAGACAAGAACCCTAGCAACTCCAAATCCCACTAGGTTAAACGTTTCTTATCTGTTAGACAACTTACCAACTTTCCACTTTCCAGCATGTTAGTACAGTTAGTACCTAAGTCCAAAGGGCAGTATCTATAACCTGCCTCTAAGGTTTAGTATATATACATCATTTAAACTTATACATCCCTGTATCTATAAATGCATAAGATCTGGTGCATGTAATAATGTACCATATATAAGAGAGGGAAGACATAGAAGTCATAATGTTACAGTATTTTCAATTATGAGAAAGTACATATTGTTGAAATCATGTTAATTAGAAGTAAAGTGGTACCCTACATTTCTTAAAAATTTTGATATCATTCCATTAAAAATTATATTATAGTTGTAAAAATGAAGTCAATAACGCTCTCTGGTGTGCAGATACAGTAAGGAGAGACCGTCAGCACTACAGATAGAAGTATTTCTTTAAAGAGAACAACTTATGATTTGAAGAATAACAGTCTTCACGTCTGAACTGTGCCAGAATGGTGGTAAATGGTTTTACTTCATCTTTCCCTTAAATCTGGATTTTCCCATCTCCTTCTGAGTAAGACCTGCCACCACAGTGGCCTGGGCAATTCTGTCTCCTGAATCACCAGGTGCAGGTGACTTCAATTATGCACTCTGCCCTTGTTTCAAAGCAAACTGGAAATGCATGGTATAGCTCTTACCACAAAAGTCTTCCCAATGTTGAAGAACACATATCCTTGCGAACTGTTTAGCGGGTTAAGATTAAACACAAATCCACTGTTGGGATCCTTTATAGAGCAGGCCTACAGGAAACAAAATGGGGGAAAAGGGGCGCATTTAAACCAATTCCACAGGAACAAAACAAACATACAGCACCTCCAGAAACCTGCAAGTACGCACCTGACAAAGCTGTTTCCCCATTTACTTTCAAAATCCCTATCAAAAATGTAGCCCTACATGGAGCCTCTTCAAATACACCAAAGTATACTAAGTGTGAGCCCAGACTCAGAGATGACACTCACCTGGAAGCTGTTAAGGCTACCGTATTTCTCTAAGAAGACTACTGTTACTCCCTAAAGTTGGAGAGGAAACATAAGACTCATAAATTAGTTTCTATTTTTCTTTTTTCTTTTTTTTTGGGAGATGGAGTCTTGCTCTGTCGCCCAGGCTGGAGTGCAGTGGCGCGATCTCGGCTCACTGCAAGCTCTGCCTCCCGGGTTCACGCTATTCTGCCTCAGCCTCCTGAGTAGCTGGGACTACAGGCACCCGCCACCAGGCCCGGCTAATTTTTTGTATTTTTAGTAGACACAAGGTTTCACCATGTTAGCCAGGATGGTCTCCATCTCCTGACCTCATGACCTGCCCACCTCGGCCTCCCAAAGTGCTGGGATTACAGGCGTGAGCCACCGCGCCCAGCCCATAAATTAGTTTCTTAAAGAAAATAAACATCTTAAGAAAACTCATGTTCTGTTTTCTGTCTCAATTACTCCCTTAAGGTAATCATGGGACGTATGGTCAGGTGACTGTCAAATGATATCCTCTCCTCTCCGTATTTAACTTTGCCCTGGGCCTCCCTCTGTCCACTGCATGCAGGGAAGGGGGCGGTGGCCACAGACCGAGAAACACTGTCCATGAACAGGGCGCCCGACATCCTGCCCTCACTGAGCACTTACAAAGCCAGGGCCCTGTGCCGAGGCTGTTGGTTCGGAAAAGCCCTGGTCTCTGCTGCCAGAGTCTGTGGTGTAGCTTAGAACAGGAAGTGGCAAACAGGTCTCACCATAAAGAAATATACACGGTGCTGTGAAAACAACTCACTACCCTGGGGAGGTTAGAGAGAACGTCACTGAGCAGCTTACTGCTATGCCCTGCAGGGTGCACTCAACAAGGGGAGAGCATGGACCCGGGCAGAGGGCGGGAAGAGCCAGAGGACACAGTAGGCACTGAGAGCCTCGAGTGGCACAGTAACACCTGTGGCCTCTGGCCTACACACAGGGCCACGGTGAGACACACAGGCCTCAGACAAGACCACAGTAACCTGTGGGCTCTGGCCTACACACAGGGCCACGGTGAGACACACAGGCCTCACCCTACAGACAAGACCACAGTAACCTATGGGCTCTGGCCTACACACAGGGCCACGGTGAGACACACAGGCCTCACCCTACAGACAGGACCACAGTAACCTGTGGGCTCTGGCCTACACACAGGGCCATGGTGAGACACACAGGCCTCACCCTACAGACAGGACCACAGTAACCTGTGGGCTCTGGCCTACACACAGGCCTCACCCTACAGACAAGACCACAGTAACCTGTGGGCTCTGGCCTATGCACAGGGCCACGGTGAGACACACAGGCCTCACCCTACAGACAAGACCACAGTAACCTGTGGGCTCTGGCCTACACACAGGGCCACGGTGAGACACACAGGCCTCACCCTACAGACAAGACCACAGTAACCTATGGGCTCTGGCCTACACACAGGGCCACGGTGAGACACACAGGCCTCACCCTACAGACAAGACCACAGTAACCTGTGGGCTCTGGCCTATGCACAGATGAGACACACAGGCCTTATAGACAGGATCCCATTAACACCTGCAGGCTGTGCTCTATGGATAGGGTCACATTAAAACATATGGGCTCTACCCTCTAGGGGACAGGCGCTGAGATGATTTAGGTGTGGAGTGACGTATCGAATAGTCAGACATCTGCCAGTGGTGCAGAAGCCCCAGAGCCCACCAAGATGCCACTGCCACATGGGAGAAACAAAGGAATGGAAACAAAACGAAGGAAACTACAGTGGGCAGAGTAAGACTGAGGGACCTGGTTCTTATCCCAGGAGCTAGGAGCTGGGAGCTGGGGGTGGAGAGGAACTCAGGGTGACCTGCAGACACCCACTGTCAATGCAACGCAGTAACTGATTCAGAAAGAAGGGGCAGGGGTCAGTTCAGAGCTGGAACACTGGGGTGAGTTGACGATGTCTATCAGGCAGCTCAGCACGAGGGCCAGGCAAAAGCACACGTACCTGGTCTGTATCCGTTGCTGTCTGGATGGGACAGGCAGCCTCTGTGTTCCACAGGAAAGTGACCACACACTCCCAGTTGAGAGAAAAGATGGGGTGGCTGTTCTGAAAGGGCAAATCCAGGGTAAAAGTTAATACAGTAACATGGAACTTGATCTAACCATAAGAATACTAGCCTGAGACATAAAAATAGCCAAAATCTTCTGGATGTTTATTATGAGTCAGCCAATACAGCTAGACACTTAATGTGCATTACCTAATTAGAATTTAATGTTGTCATTCTCCCTATGAAGGCAAAATAATCTCTTACGCTTGGATATTCAGAAATATAGAAATCACGCCAGCAGTAAATGGTAGAATTTGGATCCAAACCTAGGTCTGAGTCCAAGGTTCTGAGAAGCACCTTACACAAAAAGTTGAATGCAAGAAGCCATATACAAAGGCAATAGTACACAGGGTTCACTGACATCAGCTCAGGATTAGGCAACACTGGTCTGTGCTGTCAGAGGTCAGGAAGGCACAGGACGGCTCCTAGCGGGTAGCATGTCCTTTCTTGATGTATAGTTTGTGGACACTCATCCAGCTATGTCACGTTATCATCTGTGTGCCCTTTGGTGCGTATGTGTCCATGAAAAGCTACCCCAGAGAGCTACTGGGTTGGTGACAGCACCACCACCACACGGGCCACGGTAGAGCTGCCAATCAGGGAGTGTTTATCACACACCAGGACTGCACTGAGTTTTGTTAGCATTTCTCAACTGCACCTCACAATGACCCACACACACAGCCTACGAATGAGAAAACCGAGGCACAACGAAGTTAAGACACTTGCCCAGGGCCACGGGTTCAGGAACAACAGCCACTGACACTGAGTGGCTTGCCCATCAAGCGCTCTCTGCCCTGGAAAGCCCCCACCCACTGCAGGCCTCAGCAACACTAACAGCAGAACAAAAACACACCTGCTCCTTCCACTTCACAATGTGCTTGTGAAAGGGACTGAGCTTTAGCCTGTGAAAGTTCTGTGACTGCAAACCCCTGGGACAGTGGCCCTGAATCCCTCAGTGAGTGTATTTCCCGTGCCGCTGCTGTGCAGCAGGCCCCATGTGAGTGCTGACAGACACGACAACAATGTGAAGTTACTCTGTAAACTAAACAAGGTATCATAGAAAAGCTGGAAAACCAAGGATTCAACAATTTTCCGGAACTACTGAGTGTCTCAACGGCAACCAGAAACCAGAGAGGGAGGGGGCGGTCCACAGGCAGGGAATGCACAGACATGCCCAAGACAGAGACCACCAGGCTGAACTGGGCAACCTGGGCATCTCCCTGTGCAACACGGAACCTGGATCCCTCCTGAGATTGAAAGAAGAAGTGGGCGGCCCAAGCTCAGGTGAACCTAAGGAGAGTGTGTACAACCCGGACAGAACACCTCTTGCAGAGAGCATGGGCCAAGCTCAGCCTGCCCGTCATTCATTCCCTGATCACAGAGATCTCCAACTCTAAAGAAGTGTTGCTCAGGAAAAAGAGCGTTAGCCAGCGACAAAGCGGACCAGGCAGGCGAGTGAGGCGGCACCCACTGGGCCACTGCAGGGCGGAACGCATCCTGCTGGCTCGTTTCAGTGGGGCTTGAGGAAGCTGCCACACACCCTTAACAACGGACTGTTAATAATTTAGTTGATAATGAACATGGCTTCCGGTCTCTCCACTCTCCTAACCATTTGATAATTTCTCAAAAACACATGACCCTGCTATAAACCTAAAACTACAGGTAATAAGAAATAAAAATAAAATCCTAAGCCCCACAACTGACTGAACACACCCCACTCTTGGCCAAGGGGACCCCAGAGAAACTTTAAAAACTGCACTCCTGTCCATAACGGGTGGGAGGTGAGACATACCTCATTACACCCCTCTCCTCATTAACCGCTAGGCTCTCTTCCCTGAGTGCCAAACAGAAGCCGGCCCTTTTCAAAGACTCTGCTGCTGGTATCAATCCACCGCCTGACAATGTCCCTCCTTTTCTGCAGTTCTGACAACACAATATCGATCAGCATTCCCTCCTGATAAGAGACCACAACTCCCAGGTGGTCCTGGCCGTCTACGGAGGCTGCACACAGAGGGCCTTCATGCCCTCTGCTTCACCTTTCGACATACAGGGCCTAACTGTAATATATTTAAATGTTACGTCTCCAACCCAAAATGAATGTGGGGACACATGCTGCATACATGTTGCCTACCATGCGTGTGCATGCCATCCCTTCATGAACATGCATAGCTGCTCCTGTAACCTGCTGAATATCTATACTTGACTAACGTGTTCAGCATCCATTCATGTCTTAGTCTTCCTCCCTCCCAGTGCTTGTTTCTGGCTTTTGGCCTGAGGCTATGCTTCCCAGCCTGTCAGAAATGGCCACCCTGCAGGCTGCAAACCTTTATGAGAAATAAAGCTCTCCTTTCCAAATTAGATTTGAGACTATCAAAAAATTTCTAGGCTGTGTGTGGTGGCTCATACCTATAATCCCAGCACTTGAGGAAGCTGAGGCAGGAGGACTGCTTGAACCTAGGAGTTCTAAGACCAGCTTGGGCCACATAGAGGGACCTCATCTCTACAAAAGCTTTAAAAACCATTTTGGTAACTACAGGTAACTCCACGTGTAGTTCCAGCTCCTCAGGAGGCTGAGGTGAGAGGGTCACTTGAGCCCAGGAAGTTCAGGCTGCAGTGATTCGGTGAGCAATGATGGCACCCAATGCACGCTAGCCTGGGCGACAGAGCAAGACCCTGTCCCAAAAAAAGAAAAAAAGTCCTGGACATGGATACTGGTGATAAACACAGGACACTAGAGATGTGTATAATATATGTAAGCCAAAGACAGTCAGAATGGTCAGTTTAATATTATATGTATTTTACCCCAATTAAAAAATAGAAGCAATTGGGACTGTATAAAATGGCCCCAAAGCATTTCCATGGAGAGAAGAGCAAAGCAAACTCCACACGGTCTGCTGTCCTCCTCTGGCTAAGGAACTCAGGGCCAACAGCAATCCCACTCACCTCCTATACCTCCTAGCCTTAATTCATTTTATTATTACGATTTTAAAATGTCTTTTTATTATTATTATACTTTAAGTTCTAGGGTACATGTGCACAACGTGCAGGTTTGATACACAGGTATACATATGCCATGTTGGTTTGCTGCAACCACTGACTCATCATTTACATTAGGTATTTCTCCTAATGCCACCCCTCTCCCAACCCCCCACTCCCTGAGAGGCCCCAGTGTGTGATGTTTCCCGCCCTGTGTCCATGTGTTCTTATTGTTTAGTTCCCACCTATGAGTGAGAACATGCGGTGTTTGGTTTTCTGTCCTTGTGATAGTTTGCTGAGAATGATGGTTTCCAGCTTCATCCATGTCCCTGCAAAGGACATGAACTCATCCTTTTTTATGGCTGCATAGTATTCCATGGTGTATATGTGCCACATTTTCTTAATCCAGTCTATCGTTGATGGACATTTGGGCTCTTTCCACGTATTTGCTATTGTGAATACTGCCGCAAAAAACATACATGTGCATGTGTCTTTACAGTAGCATGATTCATAATCCTTTGGGCATATGATTTGGCTCTCTGTTTGTCTGTTAATGGTGTACAGGAATGCTTGTGATTTTGCACATTGACTTTGTAACCTGAGACTTTGCTGAAGTTGCTGATGTGATTATTATTTTGAAACAAGATCTTGCTCTGTTGCCAAGGGACTGCAGTGTAGTAGCACATCCTCAGCTCACTGCAACCTCTGCCTCCTGGGCTCAAGTGATCCTCCCACCTCAGCCTCCCCAGTAGCTGGGACTACAGGTGCACACCACCACACTTGGCTAATTTTTAAATTTTTTTTGAAGAGATGGGGTCTCACTAGGTTTCCCAGGCTAGTCTCAGACCCCTGGGCTCAAACAATCCTTCCATCTCTGCCTCCCATTTTTTTTTTTTGGACAGGGGCTCGCTTTGCCTCCCAGGCTGCAGTGCAATCATGGCTCACTGAATCCTCAACCTCCTGGGCTCAAGGAGTGCTCCGGCCTCTGCCTCCAGAGTAGCTGGGACTACAGGCATGAGCCACCACACTTGGCTGAATTTTGTTTTATTTTTTGGAGATGGGGGTCTCACTATGTTGTCCAGGCTGGTCACCAATTCCTGTCCTCAAGTGATCTTCCCACATTGGCCTTCCACAGTGCTGGATTAGATCTGAACCAGCGTGCCCAGCCTTCAGCCTTAATTTCTTATTCCTGTTTTGTATTACACGTACAACCCTCATTGTTCACCCATAGGCCTGAGATATATCAAGCCTCAGATTCCTATCTGTGGACTTTGTGGTTTGGGCTGCTGGGGCTCAGAACGCAATACCTCAAGGACTGGTGCTTTGACATGCTGAGAAGCTGCCTGAGAATCAAGGTCGTCCTTTTAACTGTGCCTTGTTACCTCCACCCCCAAGCACAGCGAGGGACTTTCTCTGGGATTTCCTTACCTGACCAAGAAGGCTTCTTTCCAAAAGAAACTCGGAAATCTCATTATCTATCCCACAAAAGAAGACTGAGGACAGCAACCACACCTGGACAGACTTGTTCACAAGATAATGCCTTCCTCATTCAGGCTCCAAAGAGAATCATTTGCAAGTTAATTTCTGTCCATTCTTTCTCCCAAATAATCATTTGCTGCCCCCTCAAAAGAACTGTCTGCATCCCCCATCACCCTCTCCCCTGTGAAATAGGGTACACAATCTTCTGTGTTGCATTAGGCTACTGGGTCATCTTTCTCCTGCTATTTATTCCCCGGTGCTAAGCACGTTAAAATTTTAATGTCTTTTCTCCTGTTGACAGCTGATTTTCAGGGAAACTTCAAAGGGTGAAAGGGAAGCTTTCCCTCGGCTCCTACAGGACCAAACTATCTCTAAGCCCCGTTCCACTGCCACGATCCTCAACTCACAAGAACTAAGAGGCAAGATAATGTCTGTATGACTCAGAAAGAAAATCCATGAAACAGTGTCTGTCACCACAGCCTCCAACTCCGCAGCAAAAGATGAGGCTTACACTTCAGAAATCGCAGCCATGAAGGTACCACAAATCACTCCCTGCCTGTGCACATATATACTGCAGGCTGACCTTGAGCAGAACTAAGACTGGCCTAACTCCACCACCCACCCCAAGACCGTTTCTGTCAAGAGACACACAAGGCAACGCTCAGTCAAAAAACGCAGCACTGAAGGTCACCGGCCAGCGGCAGTGCCTTACCAGCCTGCCCCTGGAGCAGACGAGATGGATCCTCGTGGTGTATGTGGTCTGTCTGCCGTCGCTGGTGGTGCAGGTCGATCCATTCACGTATTCCAGAAGGAGGCTGCCGCTGTCCTCAATCGTCGGGCCAGTCTTTGCCATTCCCAAGTTACTGATGGAAACCACTTCAGTGAAGGAGCCCTGCAGGGAAACCAGTCTTGTCAGGCTTTTCCCTCGGAAGATACGGTCAATTTGTTATTGGTGGTGGTTACATTCTATAAAGTTGCAGCAAACAATGAATTCTCGAATACAGAACCACTGCTCCTGGGGAAATCCCCTTATTACATATGGAATAGGAAACCATCCTCAAAGAGTTAACAACAACTGCATGCTGGGTTCCGGACACGCAATTAAGCAGCAACCAGGCTGCATGCTGGCTGTAACTGAAAGTCACGTAGCACTAGATACTACTCGCATCCCCATTATTGCTACAGAAAGAATCACTGGTGTTAGAATCGTAAGGCTTTCGTTCAAGAATTGCGTAAGATGTTCTTCGGATCCTGAATTCCGGTGGAACGACTGACACTAACCACTTTGAAGACCTTCCTACAGGGAGCCAAATGCAGTTTCTTCATCTCCCCATCCCATGACTTCACCCGGCACTCTTCTACCAATAAACAATCCCCACACCTTGGCCCGCTCCAAATCCCTTAAGTCCCTAAACCCAAACTCCTTGGGGAGGTGAATTTGAGGTTTCTTCTCATCTCCTCATTCGCCTGCCCTACAATTAAACTCTCTCTCGGCTGTAATCACCAAAGTCGCAGTGTGCTGACTGGCTGTATACCAGGCAAACAAACCTATTACACACAGATTATAATCTGAAATCCCAAGACAACTCATGCTGACGGATTCTATTCTCTTTATTTTACAAAAGGAAAAACGAGGCTCAGGAGTATTAAGTGGCTCACCTGAGGCTGCCCTACGAAACTTTCAGAACACAAGGGAATAAGTCACGTTTGAAAAGGCTTTAGTGTGAATTCTAGGCAAGAAACTTCTCTTAGGGAGACCTTACAAGACAGTGCAGCGCGGAAGTTCCAGCTCTGGAGCATCTCTGAGTTGAGATGCCAGAGTTGGAATTCAGACCCCGTCCAACTGGCCCCAGGGCTGGAGCTTTTGCACTGCACTGCCTCGCCCTCTCCATCCTCTGCTCATCTCAGGGTGAGGCAGAAACGAGCCCAGAGCATCCCCCTGTTCGGCATCAACCAGGAACACGCTTGTCGGGCACTATGCACACTGGGCCACTACACTCGTTCCAGCAATGACTGAGGGGGTGCTCCGCACGGTGATTTTGGAGTTACAAGTGTTCTCAAATAGGCAAGTTCACAGATGCAGAATCTGTGAATAATGAGGACTGACTGTACACTGAAGTCACTGCTCCAGTAAAGAACACACATGTGCACAGGTAAACACAACCAGGAACTCGATTCCTAATCACCAGAGCACACTTGCCAGCTTCCTTTCAAAAACCTCTAAGCTGCCATTAGCATACACTAAGAAAAGTACATCCCCAACATGCTATTTTTACAGAAGCCAACTTCCAGAGACATCTCTATTCTAGGATTCATCACGTACAGCGACCACAGGAGACAGGCAAATGTTCTTTCAGTGACTGCACTCAACCCAGTGACGAACTGCAGCGACTGAGAGTGCGTGCTGGAATCTATTTCATCCACAGCAACTCTCCCAAACCGCTTTCTCCCCCTAATCAATCCAGAAGCAAGAGCTTTTGGAAGCAAAACTCTCTTTTTCACAGGTATCTGCTGAAAGCACCTAAAGACGCTTTTGAATTCAGGATAGACATAACCATTCGGTGCTTCCTCTGCCCTTTGTGTGATCAAAGGTCTCCAACACAGCATTCTCCACGTGAACGATGATTCCTGTGTGACACACTTGTGCTCCTACAGGGGGCAGACGAGTTCACATGGAGGCCCCGCTCCTACTCAGAGGATTTCTCTCGAGCAGCTGTGCCGCCTTTGATCTGGATGTCCCAAAATAACCACCTCCTCCCACTAAGTCACGGAATTAGGAGGGCAAAGGAGACAAGCAGTGAAAACAGACTCACCTGATCTTTTTCATACTTCATCTGGCAAGCCGATGCATACCGGTTGCAGCCCGGCACTGGATTCAGAGGCCGACACACGTTAATGTAGTATTTCCTCCACGTGACATGTTCCCCTGAGTTGTCCATGGCGTACCAGTTTCCTCCAGGGCCACCTTCAGATTTTGCCAGACTAAAATTTCAAAGCAAAATTATACGCTCTTTAAGAGCTTACACGTTTCAGTCTAATTTATTTCTATGTAGTTGGGGAAGTAAAGCTACCAAATAAAGCATGCTCCACCAATCACACAACCAGAAGTTGGCTTGTCTGGACTCATGACGCACCAGGATTACACTCAACCTTCGCTAAACTCAGTATGAAGTGGACCTTAACTGTCCCCCATGCCTCTGAACTGACAGTCATTGGTTAAATGATGAAGCTAAAGGCTGAGGCTCTGCTGTGGCCAAGACTGGTTGCTAACCCAAAGGCGACCAGACTGTTATTAGAATTCACTCTGCTGAAAATGCCCCACCTTGGTCCTGCAGCCCCAGAGCCAGCATCACTCCCCATCATCAGCTCAGTCACAGGCTCGCCAGCAACACCCGCAACCTCAGCATCTGCACCAGGCCAAAAACAGAGCAGCTGACTCTGCCTCACCTGGAGAGGTCGTACTGCTCCAGTGTGGAGGGGTCGGTCACCACGCATTCCAGGGGCTCCTCCGGGCAGGCATAGCTGGTGTACCACCGGAAGTTGTAGGTGGAGTTATCCTCTTCCTAATCCACGGCAGCAGAGAAATGCAGGCAGGGATGGCAAAAAGAGAAAGACCCATGACATAAAGCCAGGATTCAAAAAAGGATAGGACCAGTGTTCCCAATGAGAAACTGTGACAAAAAGCCTACTCTGCCCATCTCCCTTCATTTTATTAAAGGAAGATTGTTCAGTAATATATCAGGATGAAAACTTAGCCTCTGCTAAGTGGGGGTTAATTCAGGATTTTTTTAATGCTTTTGCATGTTTTGTACCCAAAACTGACAGGCTTGTGGGCTGTTATTAAGGTGCACAACCCACTAAATAAACAGCTTAAGAAACTAATACTGCCTAGGTACCCTGTCAAATCTAATTATGGTGATGATTTGGCCAGAAACCCAGACTGACACAAGCTCTGCCTCTCAATGAAAGGCCCAGCACAGGCGCGAGTATCCTCAGGGAGCGCGATGAGGGACAAACATTCCTACCTGATATTCAGGGAAGCCCACCCCGGCGTCTCGATCACAGAGAAAGGTGATGAGCGTAGCTCTCGGTGTGTGTCTTTCGTTGTTATAAGGCGTGCCGCCTCTGTAGTTCAGTTGGATCATCCCATCATAATACGAAAGCTTCGCATTACTCAGTCCCAAGTTCCAAGTCTTCTCGTCACTGAAATAAACACACATTTCTCTCAGCAAAGGCCTGAGGGCAGAAGCAGTGAAAGGCTGCCACACTGAAAGGAGGGCCCGTGAGCGACGTGGGGAGTCACCAGAACCAGGCCAGGGCTGCAGACCACAGGAACCCACACAAGGTCTCTAACTGCAGCAGGGACACTGGGACCCAAATCTCCTCTTGGCACCACTGGTTTAGACAACTCACTTCATTCGAACTAAAGCTACACAGAATGCAGAAATACGCACAGAAATATCTAGGAACTGAGAAGCGCAAAATGCACACAAGTGAGGCATGACCTCAATCCACCCTTCTTTCCCAAGGACGGGCCTGCTCCTTCCTCTGGGAAATTAAACTACTAACGTCCTTCAGTTTTCAGACCAGGTCTCATCACTATTTAAATGCTTGTCATAAAGCGATGACATTAAGTGAGAACACACCTATTCCTGAAAAAAGTATTTGTTAGCACATAATACCTAAGAATGAAACAGAACTGAGAAGCTAGTTACTTGCCTTTTTGCCACCTGGCAGGCTCCTGAGTCTGGCTGACAGGGGCTCACAGACACTGGGCCACACACATTTATATAAAAGTCATACTTCTTTGTCTCAACTTTATAGGCACCATTTTTCTTTGTGAGAGGTGATAAGTCAAAAGAAAACCCTAAAAAAGAAGAAAAACAGTAAAATTATGGAAGGTCAGTCCGAACAGTTAACAGAGTGGTCTCACCCCACAGTCTGAAAGGGAGAGGTCCTTCCCAGGAGGTTCCCAATGGCAGGAAGAAGTGAAGGAGGCAGAAGAGACACTGCCCCTTGAGGCCACCAGAACCGCGATTACTAACATTTTCCTTCGAGATGGATCCAACTCCACCATTCCCTTCTACTGGGTTAGCCTGAAGCCCTATTCAAAAAAGCCCATAACTGCTGGCTAATAAACAACCAGCATATTCAAAGTAGGATGAGCACAATATTATGGCCTTCTTGTAAGGTCTCCCTCAGAGAGGTTTCTTGCCTAGAATTCACGTGAAAGCCTTTTCAAACCTAATTTACTCCCTTGAGTTCCAAAAGTTTTACATTCAGCAAACCCACCTCAATAATGAATTTAAGATAGTATTTTCAATATCTCAAATAAGTCCCAAACATCGGCTGTTCAGAATTGTGTTCAAATAGCATGAATAAAATTCTAAGGCAGGTTACCTTGAAAACCTCACAGAGAATGTTTAGGAAAAAACCTTAAGTGGTTCCAAGTCACATTAACGCAGAGGTCCTGCTCGGACACAGACCTGCCTGGGAGTCAAAGACCGTGCAGTTCTCCCCTTCTGTCTTCGACAGCACACAGGCCGCCGCTGTGTGCCACTCAAACTCATAAAAGCAACCGCCTTCCCCAGAAGTTCTCAACATTGGTGCACTTTCCAGATCACCTGTCAATGGGGAAAAGAGATGGGGATCACTAATCCATTCATTCCTAAAAAATCTTCCCTCATTCTTCTCTGCTAGAAGTAGACTTGGAAGGGACAGCAGGAAATGAGGTAGAATGCATGGAAGGGTCAAAAAACAGCCCTACAAATACTGTAGCATTCCATCTATATGAGGTATCTAGAACGGTCAAATCCATAGAGACAAAAAGTAAAAGAGAGCGAATGGAGAGCTGTGTTTAATGGGAACTGAGTTTCAGTCTGGGAGGATGAAAAAGTTCTGGAGATGGATGATGATGGTATTACACAACAATGTCACCAACCTACACACTTAAAAGTGGTTAAGATGGTAAATTGTATGTTATGTTGTATATTTTACCGTAAAACAAACAAACAAACAAAATGATCCTAGCTTCTGACTTTATCCCACAGCTGGGAACTTATCCAAAGGAAATATTTCGATGGGAGGTAGAGAGAGGATACATAATGGCACGATTAGCAATACTGGAAACGTGCTATTAATCCAACAATAAGAAAAATGTTTAAAAATAGTAAAACCACACCATGTCAACAAGGAAGTTCCTAAAAATTATTAATAGAACTGTGAAATACAGAAGGGTATTTACAAAATACTACACTTTGAGAAACATTAAGATTTGTTAACATAAAAGTTTTGACTTCATAAAAACATACACCTATAAATAAAGGTAATGAAAATTAGCATTGTGTTTAAGTGGTGAGATCATGGGCAATGTTTTAAACCATTTATGATTTTTTTCCCCTTTGGAGGAAGTTAAGTAACCGCATGACTGGCCCCGTATCAGTCCCGAGGAAGAGGATGCAGTGCTGAGACCCACAACACTTCCTTCTGACACCATCTGGTTTCTCCATTTCTCATTTGGTTTTGGGGAGGGGATGAGGGGAAAAATCCAAATGACCTAGTTCCCATCATCAAAGATTCTGGAACTCAAAATGCTTAACACCATGCCAATCTGTCTGATCACCTTTGCAGTGACTGATGAGGACCAGAGATATGAAGAATGCAGGACCTCTGGCAGAACCCAACAAAAGATTTCATCGTTTTTAAAATTTTTACCTGGCTTGCATACAAGTGTGATATTAGTTCTTATTTTCTTGCCATGACCACAATCATCACCATCTGAATAAGAGAGTTGAATGTTGCCTTTCTCTTTTGTGGGAGAAGAAATAAATTTTCCCAGATTTTTACTTCCATTCTTATCTGGAAGAGAAAGGGGAGGAAAAAAAAAAAAAGATATGGTTAAAAATTATCACCATGCGGACAAAGACGTGATTAAAAAAAAAGAAAGAAGAAATCAGCCCAAACCCAGCCAGTGCAGCCCCTTCTCCAGCCCACCGAACCCCCCAGGGCAGCCGATGGGTTTCCCTAGAGTGCCACGTTTGACTAGATGTTACCAGCCACGTCGGGGTCCTCCAAGGTCATCCATAGGCTCAGCAGGAAAGTGCCATGAATGACGCAAAATAAAAAACCAAATGGCTTTTGCAACATGCATCAGCGCCAACTGTAAACTGACACTGTCCGCCACTGTCGGGGCTTCAGCTATCCCAAGACACAAAGTCTTTTGAAAGCACAGCCACACAGCCAAAGGGTGAGAATGTGTCTCATATCCAAAGCAGAAACTAACGAAACCTGTTTAGCAACCCAAGCGGGAGGCCACTTACTTCTTGGTTCACTTGCTTTTTATTATAAAGGATTAAAAGTCTGCTCCGAAGTCCTTCTTAGTAAAGACATGGACATGCCTGAACCTGCTTTTGAAGACACACCAGCAATTCTGAATACCAGGGTCATTCCTAAAATCCAACCGAGGCTCACAATTTCTTACTGAATGCTTTTAACAGATTCTCATAGCCTGGCATTTTCAAAGTGAGTCATAAAAGACAAAAATGAATGTGCTAAATACCTGTATCAAATAATTGAGGAGTCTCTGCATGACAGTTACGGGACCAAAACAATGACAGCAAAAGGAAGCGAAGCATGCAGGCCCCTCCTACACTAGGGCTATAGCTGAGATTACACTTTCCTTAAGCCACAACTTTTGAACAATTCTAGGCAATAAAGTTGTTTAAAAAAATAAAATTGGCCAGGCGCGGTGGCTCAAGCCTGTAATCCCAGCACTTTGGGAGGCCGAGACGGGCGGATCACGAGGTCAGGAGATCGAGACCATCCTGGCTAACATGGTGAAACCCCGTCTCTACTAAAAAAATACAAAAAACTAGCCAGGCGAGGTGGCGGGCGCCTGTAGTCCCAGCTACTCGGGAGGCTGAGGCAGGAGAATGGTGTAAACCCGGGAGGCGGAGCTTGCAGTGAGCTGAGAACCGGCCACTGTACTCCAGCCTGGGCGACAGCGCGAGACTCCGTCTCAAAAAAATAAAATAAAATTACTTGTACACAAATACTGGCAATGATATTCTTCAGGTTACAAACTCAAAAGATGACGTAGTATTTTCCACATGGTTCCTTCTGTTCCCAGTTATGGCTTTAGCCCATATCAGGAAGCTACAGCCAACTTCAGGATTCCAGAGCGCATCAAGCAGTCAGCGACATTTGATTCATGAATAAAAATGTTTTACCATCCTTTATGTGAATATAGAAAGAGGAGGCTTAGATGAACCACAGGAAGCTCTTCTAACTCATTCCAAACTGGATGCCCTAGAAAACCATCACCTAGATCTTCCCTCCGGACACAACTCACCCACTGCGCATACTGCCGCATCCTCGGGGCACCCTCGCGCCTTGTCTGCCTGCAGCACTCTGTGACAGATATTAATGAAAAAATGCTTCTTCTCTGTTTCCGTCTGGCTGCCATCCACGGCTTCCCAATTCTGCTCTGGTTCTGTAACAAAAGTGTATTTTAGCCAAAAGCAATGCTGATTTCTGTGAGTCACAGAATAAATGGTGATGAAGCCAAAGGTCAAGGGACCAGAGCTCCCAAAGCACGTCGTCCCTCAATCCCCAGCGCTCACGTTTCTGGAACCCGGGCAGACTGAAGGCACAAAAATTCACCGAGATTCTCAGGTTTCTCATTTAATGTGACAGAAACAAACTACACCCCAATACTTCTTCAGAAGAGCAGGCCCAACTGGGTGATAGAGAATTAAATAGCAAAATTCTCCCAAGCCCCACAGTATGAAACTAGAAACTGAAAACCCAAATCAAGAAGCCATCCTGTGTCTTGGGACGCAGTAGAGTGGTACACCATTGATAATACACCAGCTCAGCTCAGCCCCTGTGAAGGCCTGTGCAGCTAAAAAAAGCCAGCAACCTCTTACACAACTGCAGACTCGGTGCAGGACACAATGCATGCTACCACAGAAGACAAGCAAGGTACCACAGGTGGCCGCTGAACTCACAAGACTCATGAGCTGGTGAGTGTGAGCAGACACTGATTAGGTGCCTGCAGGAGGTGAGGGGACACCAGCTGAGTGTCACCAGCGCAGCACGCAAGGGCAAGGGCATCCACAAAAAGCAAACCACACGGTGAACAGTCGCTGAAGAAGTAACTTAGAAAGTATGTAAAGAAGGAGGTAAAGATATAAAAATACATCTTCTCATTTGAAAACGCTCCCTTTGCAGGTTGGGTACTGGGGTTTGGAAGGCAAAAACCCCATGACTCATCAGTGGTGATACAGTACATTTGGAGAAGTACTTTCCAATGTCAACAGCCTAAAAGAAACCATACAAGACTGTGCATGTGAACAAGGACCTGCCCTAAATACTGGAAGTCTGGGGTGGAGCCAGGTGGGCTATAAAGTCTTAAGGGACTTCTTCAAGAGTAAGGAGCAGTTTTAGCTCTCCCCTCGTAACTTCCTTAGGGCTATCTCCGTGCAAATGCCACGAAACACTCCAGATTCCAAGAGACCAGAGCTGTGTCAGGAAGTCTACAGATTGAAAAATGTCTCTCTCCTTATCTCACAGGTCCTAGGTTGTCTCTTATACACAGTGATTTTCTTTTTAAAAAAAAAAAAAAAAAGGTTGACTTAAGGGATCTCACAGGACCACCCACTTTACTGGAAGAAACTCGGGCTGGGAGAGCAGCTCGCTCAAGCAAACGCAATTGGATGTGGCAACATCAGTCCTCAGCCAGGTCTCCAACTCTGCAGCTAGAACTCTTTCCACTTCACAGAAAACCAGTGTCTTCACTAGCACACATGTGGCAGAATTAATTACAGCACCGTTCCCTGCAGCGCACAGGGTGTTTAACCACAACAGCACTGCCAGCACTCACTGCCCAGGCGGTTCACAGTGAGGCAGGTTCTCAAACACTCCACAAGAGGGATTCATTCCTCTTTCTAACCTGGTATTTTCCAAACCAGGTGGGGCTCAGAAGACAGGAGCAGCAGTCCTGTCACCGCCGCAGTTTTATTTTTCTAAAAAAAAAAAAAAAAAGACATACATGTGCAGAACATGCAAGTGTGTTATATAGGTATACATGTGCCATGGTGGTTTGCTGCACCTACTGACCCATCCTCTGAGTTCCCTCCCTTCGCCCCCAACCCTAAACAGGCCCTGGTGTGTGCTGTTCCCCTCTGTGTCCACGTGTTCTCAATGTTCAACTCCCACTTACGAGCGAGAACATACCGCCAGCAGTTCTGTGACTGTTCTGGTTGGTAATCACATGAGGCAAGTCATTCTCTCTGCTTCAGGTCATCTCCCCCTTACAGAGGCAACTGGCTTCTGCACAACTAATTTGAGCTGCCAAAAGGGTAAAACCAGAACTCTCCCCCATCAGATTATCCCTGCTTGAGACTCCCATTCTTCTTACTCGATCTGCTCTGTTTCCTGCTAGATTCCAAGCCCCCGAGGACAGGGACTGTGCTGTGGGGGGCACTGCTGCCTCCTCTGCACCTTGTCTGGTGCCTGCTGTGCAACAGCAAGCTCAGCCTCGAGGACAAGCCCACTGCACACCACTGAGGCACCAGTGAACAGCGGCCCAAGGCACACATCCATCTGCCTGGAGGATCCAAACAGAAGAACCCCAGGGGGCAGAGGCTGCAGATCCCACCTCAGAGACGGAACAGAGGCAGTGTGTAAAAGGGTAAAAACACAAGGTCAAAAGATAGCAACTGAGCCGCAGCTCCACTCTGTGGGCCTGAGAGTTCCTGTGTTAAGTGGGAATATGGCCTATGGGAAGGCTGTTATAAGAGAGAAAAAAAAACTTTAAAGGAAAAAAAAGCAAGCAAGTAAGCTTCTAAACAACACAGAGCACAGGCCTGACACCCTGCAGGTGCAGGGCAGTTTCTGCTCAACTATGATAAGCCCAAGGTAACCCGACCAGAAAACAATAATGCTGGTCTCAGATTCAGATACTCCACCTCCCAATCCAATGCTCCTTCTAATAATTCACACAGCCACATGAAAAAAGCGGGCGGTAGGCTGTGACCCAGCCCACTGACAAAGAAAATAGTAACAGCATTTCCAAAAGTACTCAGGGAAATTGTTCCACGAACACATGGACTTAGACCCACACGGCAAGGAGGGCAGTACCTGCGTGGCGGACCAGCGCGGACAGGTCGTAGCGCTTCTTCCCGTCGACAGCACCGCAGAGAAGGTCTTCCTTCTCCTTAACACAGGCGTATTTCGTGTCCCATGTGAAGAAGTAGGTGCAGTCAACCTCTCCTGTGAATACAGGACTTCCTTTCCCATCATTACCTGTACGATTCAAGAGGAGAAATTTAAACTCCATACGTGACCAAAACTGAGGAACAGCTAAGGAGCAAGGAAGAAACTGAACAGGACCAATGCCAACTGACCAGTGAAAAAATTCAGGTCCAGACTTTCTTAGAGACCTTGGGGGTCTGAGATGGCAGAGGCTTCTATTGAGCTTCAGATGCTTAACCCTAAGTCCTCGATGGCAGGCTGGCAGGCCAGCGTGCCTTTCACCTTGGGAGACATTGACAGAGGCCGTGTACAGCGCCTTCAAAGATAAGATTAAAAGGGCAGGCAGGAGGAACACAAGGGCAGTGAGTGGGATCCTCTGCTCCCAGGCTATGATCAGCTCCCAGAGGCTTCTGAACATCTCTGGGTGACACTGGGGACTCGCAGAAAAGAAGACAGAAATGGAGCTCTAGTTCCCTGAGCACCACTGACTTCGTGATACGACTGTGAACAAGACAAGTTCTCTGGGACTCATCCCTAAAGTAAAACAAGGGTGGAAACCACCTACAGTCAGTTGCTCCCAGTGAAAGCACGGCAAGGTCCTATGCCAGCCCAACAATGTTAGCGGCACATCTTCAAACAGTGCTGGCATTCTGTGGCTCCGTCAGTGCACCTGTCTGTAACACCTTCCTCAAATTGAGCCTCTTCTTCCACCAAGAGTGAGCCCCCCAGACTTCCCATTCCTCAGCAGGAATAGTTCAGGTCTAAGTCTGAAAACCAGCTCTTCACAGGTCACGTCCCCATCCCACGGACGCGGAGATTCGGAGGCTTTGCTGACTTGCTCCTTGCTGGAAATCCTATGCCTGCACCTTTCCAGACTAGGGGGCCGTGGGCACAACCCTCCTTTTCCCAACCCTGATGGTTTCATAATCCTTGTCTGAGCCTCCCACCATGTGATCTGCCTCCTTGCGGTTTGGTATCATAAGCTATGCAATGATCTAAGAAAACGGGAAGTAAGATTCTGTATCAAGAGCAAACGATACTTCAATTGTAATTTCTACCAAATCTTTAACAGTGTCATCACTATAATTACACTACCAGCCACAGCAGTGAACCTGTACTGAGCACAGTCACAGCCAGGCACTGAGCTCAGCATCTCAGCTACATAAGGCCGAGCTGCAGAAAAACAGGCTCTGTTTAAGTACTTTCTTTATGCAGTTACGTGCTGCATAACATTTGGTCAACAGCAGACTGCATATACAACAGTGGTCTCAAAAGATTGTAATACCGCATTTTTACTGGACCTTTTCTATGTTTAGATATATTTAGATACTCAAATACTTACCATTGTGTTACAACTGCCGGCAGTACTCAGTACACTCACGTGCTGTACACACTTGTAGCCCAGGAGCAATAGGCTACACCATATAGCTTAGGTGTGCAGCAAGATATACCATCTAGGTGTGTGTTAAGTACACTCTATGATGTTCATACAATGACAAAATCACCTAAAGACACATTTCTCAGAACATACTCTCATTGTTAAGCAACACATGACTATATTAATCTATTTGATCCTCAAAACCCTATGGCAAAGGTACAATTTTAGCACCATTTTGCAGATTTAGGATGCCTAAATAATTTGCTTATGGTTTCATAACTAAAAACTAGGGCAGTGCGAATCAGACCGAGGGTCTGGCCTCATCCATGCTCATAACCACAAGGCAAGATCTCCCCACTCTACTGTGGGGTTTTTTTCTACTTTTCTTTTTTTCTTTGGTTTTCTCTCCTGTGTTTTTTGTTTGTTTGGTTTGGCCCCTGAGCTTGCCGGCGAACTAACTTAGCAATAATGACGCGCCTCTGCCTCTCTTCATCCCGCCCACAAGGTTTACACACAGTTTAATCCTACTGGATTCACATTTCACTATTGAAAAAGATTTGTGTTCTGCAAACGTGAAGCATTCACTGCGTTTTTCTTTTACTAGGTAAGTTTACAAACAATTAAATACCACTACAAATCGTCCTAGTACTCGTCCGTACTTTTGAGCTGGTTTTGCATCTGAGACGTACTAATAATCTGCAGGCAGAGTCCACTGTAAATAACCATTGCTATGTACCTTTCACGTATTCTTACTTCATTCCTCAAAGAATGTTAGCAGAACAGTAAGTTGTGCTCCCCTCTCCCAAACCACTTCGGTTCATTTTTAAGCATACTGGGCTTTGACTTCAGAAATCACTATTCATGAGGCCTGTGGTTTCTGTCCGCTCATCAGCAATGTTAGGATTAGCTCTGCACAATCTCTCCCTCACTCACACAATCCCCAAGTTGCCAGTCTGGCTCCACAGGCTCGAGTTTATTCTCCAGCACACCACTTTGTGTCCTCAGTCTCTCGACTCCAGCAAAAGCGGAAGGAAGGTTTTCAAATGGAACCAAGGAGCTCTCTGCCTAAGGGGCAGGCAGCAGCACCCATTTCTCTGTGGCAAAAACAATGCTACCTCTTACTCAACTTGTTTAATTTTTCCTCTAGACACATAGCTAAACTCCATTTCCCAGCCTCCCCTGCTATTCAGGCTGGGCCAAGTGACTTATTTCTGGCCTGGAAAAAAACAAAACAAAGGAAATTGATGTTACCATCCTACAGAGCCCTTGGAAGTCACACCTACAGATGGCAGAAACACAGGATGGAAAGAGTGCAGGTCCCCAAATGACCACATGGAGCAGAGCCTGCACCCCCTACCCCAACCCTATCCCCAAGGACTAGCACTGAACTAAGACAAGAAACCTTTAATGGGCTGAGCTACTTAAATTTGTGAGTGGTTTTTTATTAGCCTATCCTAATGAATTCTGCTCTTCCAAAAAATTATCTAACATCCTTATTTAAAGGAAACACCAATAATAAAGCATCACTTTACAACTAGATTTAAACAAATGGTAAAAAAACATTATGACCAAAAGGTACACTTACATCCTGAAAAATGCATGAACCTTAGATTCACATGCATAATTCCTAGAGATCCAACTTAAACTACACTTCTATTATACAGCCAATTATCACCCGTTCACCTTCAAAAATACATTACTACATCTGTCTAATACACAGAGTCCACCAAGGGATTTTCTTCAAAAACTCTAAGTTTAAATTCGAGCAAAGTAACAATGAACTAATTTTGCAGTACATAGTTTGCTCTCAAAGTCTGGAGTGCTGAATTACAGAGCTGGAAGGAATTGTAAGTATTTTTAAATACAACTCCTGCCTGAGAACCAGCTCAAAACCCTCCCACAAAACACCTAACATCTCTCTGTCCAGGCTCCTTGTTACAATCATAAAGATAACAGCTTAGGAAAACATGGGTTTTTAATATCAGGATGTCACCGTTAATTTTGTTAAGTACAACAATGGTACTGAATTTATATAAAGGAATGTTCTTTCTTGGCATCAGGGTGGGGTGATATGGGCCATCAATGACGCATGGCTTACAAGAAAAATCTGCCAAAACATCAAGGGCTCTTAAGAGTGGCAGGCATGTAAATTTTTGTTTCAATGTTCTTTCTGTGTTTGAAAATTTTTATAACGGAAAAGAAAAACGGAGCATTTTGTCAAGCCTCACCTCATCTGGGCTTTAGCTCTCTGGGCCCCATGGTTTCGTAACTAAAAACTAGGGCGGCTGGGAACCAAATCCAGAGGGTGTGGCCTCATCCATGCTCATAACCACAAGGCAAGATCTCCCCACTCCACTGCGGGTCTTTTTAATTTTTTTCTATTTTTCTTTCTTTCTGTTCTTTGGTTTTTCTCTCCTGTGTTTTTTGCTTGCTTGGCTGGCAGCTCCTCAATGCCCATACCTCTTCTCTGTAAGTCTGAGACGACATAATGCCCTTCTCATATGCTGCTCATCCTTTTCAATCTTTCTGGATAATGATTCCGTCTTCCCAGCATCCCCAAATGAGATCAGCACACTCTCAAAGATCTCGGCCAAGTCATTAATAAAAAGCCCTGAACAGAACAGGGCCAAAGGAGGTCATCACAAAGTTGGAGGGAGACTCAGACCACAGCAGAGCAGCCCAAGCCAGCAAGAAGTCCAGGAGAGCCAGTTGGGGTGACCTGGGAGCCAGAACCAAGGTTGGGCATCAGAGGGGCTGGGCACATGGGGAAGATACAGGCTGTATCCCTAGGGACTGGGGACACCGAGTAGGAGAGATGTGATTCAGGGTGCAGACACGGCTAAGTAGGCTAGTAGCGTAGGTAGGCTAAGAGGTGAGGGCGATGAGAGAATGATGGAGAAGCTGAGGGGTGCAGGGAGTGCTTAGACCAGATGGGAGGTGCATTTTCTCATTCACGAGTCAGATGCCTGTCACACCCCTGCTGAAAATCCTTGGGACTTCATAGATTTCCAGATATAATCCAGCTCCTCTGCAGGACATACAAGTTTCTTACAATACTGCACACTCACCGTTCCAGGTCGTCTTCAGCCACATTCCCCATACACGGCCTCTAACCCGCTTGCAGCTACCCTGGTCCATGCCTTTGAATGTCTGGAGGTCCAGGCCCCACAGCCACCCCAACACGGGACTGGCACGTTCCTAAATGTAGCGTGGCTCAAGCAGCACTTCCTTCTCTCTTAACTGCCTGGCCCCTGCACCCAACCCAGACTCCAGCCAGTTGACCTTCGTGCCTCCCTCCTGGTAAAGGAGCGAAGTGACGACACTAAGCACTAGCTCTACTCTGGCAGCACTGCCCTGAACCTCCATCCTCATGCTCCTTATCTCTCTCTGCTCCTAGTCTGTGAACACCTAGAGAGCCATCTATCCTTACAACACCCTCCAGCCTCATAGAGCCTAAGCAAATAGGCACTAAAAAAATGTGTGTATTGGGAAAGTAACAAAAGTGGCCACGCAGAGAACAAGGACAGCAATGGCAGACCTGTGAACGAGGGCACCCCAGGGGCAGGTGCCACAACAGCAGTTATTGGGGCATTTTGGAAAGCCTTCCCAGCGGAAGACCCCGGGCTGGATCTTGGCCTGCTTGCTAGGACGCTCGCAGCGCTGCGGAGCTACCAGGGCAGGGGTGCCTAAGTGTCTCTCCCAACGCACACCTCATCTCCGGAGGCCTCGAGAGCAAGGTTCCCATCACGTCCAGCTGCCTCTCCCTCACCCCACAGTGAATCCTGTAGCAACCCACCCTGTCACCAAGCCACACAAAGCTCTGCCATAGAAGAACACACGGAAGCAAGGGCCAGAAAGACCCTCTGGGTGTGGCAGCACTTGGGGCAAACTACAGAAACCCAGAATGGGCTCTAGAACTGCTCTGAGCAGTGGTAGGGTGCCCTGCAGGGTGCCTGGAGTCACAGCCTGGGGGTCAACAGATGGCACAAGTTTCTGATGGTGTGGTTTTTAATCAGTACACTAAGCCACTCTCTTTAAGGAATGACTTCTACCTTCACTCCTGGGCGCAGCTACCAACCCAGAGGCAGCTACAACGGTGTCTACAATCGTCAAGATATGGACAGTGGCACCGCTTTTTGAAATGCCAGTGTCTTGGTGACTCAAGGGTGCTTCTCATCACTCGGAGAAATGCACGCCTTCGGCTTCAACGTACCTAGTAACATTGTGTAATCCCCAGATCCAAACTCTACCACAGGCTCACCACTTTGCAAAAAGGATTACTTTGACACTCATTACATAAAAGAAGAGGTCACTCAAACAAAACTGGCAAGCCATCTCGCCCCTGCCGAATCTGTCCTTGCTGTAGTTTAGTGTGCACCAAAATGCAAGACGAAAACTTTCCCAACAAGCTCAGTGCTGGGCCCACTCCCAAAACAAACAGAGAGAACCGAGGAAAATGCAAACAGGATGTGTGTGTCCACTGGGGCAGTGGGGGTGGGGAAAGTGTTACTCCAGTAGAAAAAAACCCAGTCTGGGGGCTAGAGCTGGCCAGTCCAAAGGACAGCATCTGACTCCTCCATTCAATGTTCACTTCCAAGAACACGCCTGTGCACACACACAAGCACATGCCCACGAATGGAAAGAGGAGGGGCTGAACTCCAGTGCACACTTACCTGCGGTTTTATTGCACTCAAAGTTTATGACGCTCATCCGCTGAAACCCTGAGCTGCATTCATCGCCTCCAAAATATATCAAGGTGAGGTCTCCATCCGAATATCTAGATTTTTGTGAATATAAAGACAAATGTGTTTGGGAGAACCAAGAAAGAAACCTGACTCTTTTTAAATGTCTACACTAAGCCTTTTGCATAGCATCAACAAATCACTACTGATCTAAAACAGCAAGCTCTCTAGCCAGCTAGGGAAAAATATCTACAGGAAATGAGTTCCAAATGTATGGGCTTGACATCCTCTCGCTTCAAAGTAGTAACTGGCTGGAAGAAAGTGCTGAAGGTTTTGCTGTGAGCATGAAGACTTCTCTTGTTCTCACTTTTAGATTTTGTACAAAATAAATAACGCCCAAGAATTAGACAGGCTTCCTAACAGCCGCCATGAACACAGCCGTGCCTGAGGGGCCTTGGACAATACTGATCCTGAACAATTTGAAAGAAGCAAAAATAAAATGTTTAAAATGCGGCTTCTCGGCAGATATTCCATGCTTTTAAAAAGCTCAAAGACCAGTTCTGGGGTTTTTTGCAGTTTTCTATTCCTAATTTTTGAATCGTAATTGCCCCTAACACGTTTTCAGAAAACTGCATTTTCATCCTGCTTTTCTGAAGGTTAACTACCAAGTTAAGGGTCAAAAGAAATGTGCTGAATCCACTGTTTTAGTTGTTTAAAATTTTCTGTAATGTTGATGGTGCTTGAGATTCTCAAACTGCCAGAGAAAAATCAAAACTCCTTAAAAACAAATTTTAAAATAAAAAAGCCCTATCAACTGTCAACTCATTAAATAATTTTCCTACAGTAGGTTCCGTACAAACGGCAAGTTTATAAAGTGAACAGTTCTAACAGAAGCATTCTTACTCTAAAGCCAGGAAAAACATTTGATTGTTTAGTGACAAACGGCAACTTGCCAAAGTCTAATAGAAAGGAATGCTGGCGTAACTGACTTCCCTGCACCTTATGGAAAATGGAAAGAGGAAGAAAAGGAGAGGGAGTTATGTTTCACAAGAATACACACAATGCCCTTGAAAATTATGCAGGCCGGGTCCCACGGCACATGCCTCTAATCCATGCACTTCGGGAGGCCAATGTGGGAGGATCACTGAGGCAAGGAATTCAAGATCAGTGTGGGCAACATGGCAAAACTTCATCTCTACACAAACTACAGAAATTAGCCAGGCATGGTGGTGCATGCCTGTAGTCCCAGCTATTCGGGAGGCTGAGGTGGGTGAATTACTTGAGGCAGGGAAGTCAAGGCCGCAATGCACCGCGATCGCGCCACTGTACTCTAGCCTGGGCGCCAGAGTGTAACCCTGTCTCAAGAAATACAAAGAAAAAGGAAAAGCACACAGAGGTTGTTGATGTACCGGAGGGTCTGATTCTGGTATCTTCCTGCTGCTTTGACTTGAGACGTATTGTTCTTTTTCACTTGGCAAACCGCAGCTTGCTTTTTATTACAGAACTGTGTTTCAGTTTCTCCACAGACACTCAAATAAAACAAATATTCTTTTCCATCTGAACTATAGGGCGAACCTAAAAAGAGGGAAATTAACAAGAGGTTTGTTTTACATGAACGGGTATTAGAAGGTTACAGGATTACTTAGTCAAACCTGAATTCTATTTCTGAAACACCAGCCCAAACTACAGCTCTCTCCAACGCAGGAGCAGGCATGGACTGACATGGCCCCCTATTGTCTCGTACCCTCTCTCAGTCCCCTTCTTCCTAAGCAGCGCCAGGAAGCAGAAGGCGCCTGCTTACCTCCGCTCTGGGCAAGTGGTGTGAGGTCTATGGAGACGTCCTGCTGCTCACCACTCAGAGAACAAGTTTTGCTTTCCAGGTAATCTCTGTGGCAGGCATACTCAGTAATCCACTCAACTTCATAGCGGCAGTTGGATTTAGCAGTGAGTTTGGGAATGGTGCCCTATTGGGAACAATGTGAAAGAGGCAAAATAAAAAATGTTTCATGTGGCTTAAGTGCAGATTTTCCACACTTATGAAAAGCTCAAAGACAGGTTGTTAGGTTTCTACATTTTGCTGTTTCTGTTTTTTGAATCATGAATTGCCTCTAACACATTAAGATTATTTGACTTATAACAACTCAGTAAAGTTACTTTTTTTTCTAAACTGTTATTTTTTTTTTCCATTTGATTTGTAACACCTCCATTAACTTTGTACACTCTATTCCCTTTCTAGTCTAGTCACCTTCAGAGAGACACTCAAGCTTTGGCCAGCGAGCACCTGGACTCAGTGGCATGTGACAATCACTAGGACGTCGGCAAGCGCTAACAGGCCGTGCAGGATGCATGGTCCATTCACCGCTTTCCACAAGGTGCTGCTGGAGTGGTGCAAGCCCGACACTGAGTGAACGTCATCACACGCGTGCATATCCAAGGGCACGGTCCACAACCCCTGTGGGATCCTGGGCACCACATCTGTACCCACACCTGCTCCCGGGTGAAGCCAGGGCACCACCCAGACACAAACCCGATTCTGCCACTGTATTGCTTCTACAGAGTGGGAGCTCCACCATTCATCTTTGATGAGAGCCATGAAGGGGGTTGATGGGGTCCCTGCTCACCAGGAATGTCACTGCCATCTTTTTAACCATCCTTGGGAGACACATCTTATTGGGCTTAGCACCGGGCACAGCAGTGCTGCTTCCCAGCACCATTCGTTCCATAAATACGCACTGAGCACCTGCAACACGCCAGGCACTAGGTGACAGGTTTACAAACAGGTCGCACACAATTAGTAAGTTGCAGAGTTGCAGGCCCAACCCTCTTCTGTCTGACTCAAAATCGATGCTTCTGCCCACGTGGCTCAGTGCAGTCTGACACACGGTGATGCAGACCCCAGGGCTCCATAAGAGAAGCCAGGCACAGAAAGCCACACAGTGTTGGATTCTCCTGACATAAAACATCCAAAAAAAGCCAATCCACAGAGACAGGAAGAAGGTGCACAGTTACCAGGGCTTGGGGTGTGAATGGGAAGAGACTGCTAATGGGAAGGAGGTTTCTTTTTTGGGGTGACGGAAATGTAAAATTTAGACTGTGATGATGGTTGCACACTTCTAAAAAAAAAACTAATAACCACTGACTTGTACTGGAAAAAAAAAAAAACCAGTGAATTTTACAGTATGTAAATCCAGTAAATAAATCAAGCATTTTTTACAAGATCTATATGACAAGGTGAGTGTTTACTAAATACCAGTTCCTAAAATGATTCAATGAGCAAACCGTAAATGCTTAAACAAACCTCCCAAGTATTACAGTGTCCAAGCACATGTCACACAAGGTCTGCCCAGTGAATAGTCAAGCTTGAAAAGAAACCTGGCCGTGCGCAGTGGCTCACACCTGTAATCCCAGCACTTTGGGAGGCCGAGGTGGGTGGATCACTTGAGCCCAGGAGTTCAAGACCAGCCTGGGCAACATGGCAAAGCCCCGTCTCTATTAAAAATACAAAAATTAGCCAGGCATGGTGGTGCACACCTGTAGTCCCAGCTACTCAGGAGGCTGAAGTGGGAGGACTGCTTAAACTGAGGAGGCAGAGATTGTAGTGAGCTGAGATCGTGGCACTGCACTCCAGCCTGGGTGACAGAGCGAGACCCTGTCTTTAAAAAAAAAAAAAAAAAGGAACCTCTTGCCCCAGTAATACCAAATCAGCCTCTTCTTCTAACACCAAGAAATGCCTCATACCCCTTCGAGGAAAAAGGAGGAAAACTCCCAATTCTCTTGATTCTCATAGAGTAAAATGATTCTTACCAAATGTAGAGCAAATAAAAAGGGAAAACACTAAAACCACCACCGCCTGAGAACATCTCACTGGGCTTAAGAGATTTCAACTCACATGTGTAGGTACAAATGAAAAGTGTGAATAAATATTCCTCCCCATTCATACTCAGAACAAACATCAGACACTCAGGCCTTCATTCAGTTGACGGTACATGGACGTGGAAGTCTGGGGACAGAAAGTGGAAAGCTGAGCCCAGCACTGTCTCCATATCCCACACACACCAGGCCAGCTGCCAGCCTGACGTCAGAGCAAATTCCACATTTGCTTGGGGGAAGGGGAGTGTGGTTCTCTGCAAAAGAATTCAGCCCCTCCCTACTTCACCCTATTACTAAGAAGGCAGAAAGGAACTAAAGGAAAGCCCTGCCCTATCCCTTCCTCCCTGGGGGATGCCTCCTCTCCATCAGCACCTGCCCCCGGTTAAAACACTTAAACAGGCACTGAGGACTCAAGGACAAGTAAGTCTCAGCAGTTACACTCAAAGAGTTTACAACTGCACTGGAGATTTCATCCACAGCAGAGTGCACAGCAATAAATTGGCCTGTGATGAGAAGGAGGGGGGAAGGCATGGGTGGGGGTTTAGGGGCCGACTGGGAAAAGAGAGGGAGGGAAACGCTTCTCATCAGAAATCACAGGCTTGAAATCATACTGCATTTTTCCACTATTCACTATAACAATCCAACTACAAAAACAAAAATATCTGCGCATAAACTACTTAAAATCGTCTCACAGAGACTAGAACAAAAAACCATCCCATTATATGTGGAGGCCCCTCCGGGTTGCTGTAAAAAAGCAAAAGGCAAAATGCAAACAGCTCTCCCCGAGTGAGCTTCATGTGACAGAAGCTATCCCAGGAAGCTCGTCTCCTCCTGAGAGCCCACCAGTGCCTCTGTCATGGCTCCCAGCTTCCTGCACCCAGACCCACCCTGCCCCAAGCCCAGACACGCGTTCGCGTGGGCAACCCAGGCTAACCTGCGCCACATTACAGTTACCAGGAGACAAGTCACTTACCTCTCTCCGCTCCGACGGGCAAACAAACGTAATAGTCACTGCGGGGCTGTGACCGTCACAAAAGTCTAGCTCTCCTGCCTCTTCCCTCACGTAACTCAGGACAAGCCTGGGAGAGCCACATTGAGAAAAGAATATTACAAAAGTATAAAGTGCATCCAAATTCACATGCCTCCCTGAGCATTCAGCACATTCACTTGTGGGGAGAAGGTAGCAGAAGAAATATCAAAATAGAAAAGAAGCTATGGTATAAAATGACTTCATTTCATTTCCATTTGGGAAAAAAAAAAGTTCTAAGTAAACCCCCGTGAGTGTTATTTTGTTAAAAATCAAATAAATAAAGTGACCAACACATAAATTTGATATATTAAGAAAACCTGGCTGGGCGCGGTGGCTCACGCCTGTAATCCCAGCATTTTGGAAGGCCAAGATGGTGGACCACCTGAGGTCAGGAACTCAAGACCACCCTAGCCAACAGAGCGAAACCCCATCTCTACCAAAACTACAATTAGCTGGGCATGGTAGCACACCTCTGGTCCCAGCTACTGAGGAGCCTGAGGCAGGAGAATCACTTGAACAGGGAGGCGGAGGCTGCAGTGAACCGAGATCACACCGCTGCACTCCAGCCTGCATGACAGAGCGAGACCCCATCTCAAAAACAAAAACAAAAAAAAGAAAAAAAAACCTGTTTGATCGCTTCATGTCCCAGAATAAGGAAAGAAAAAAGGAACAAAAAAAAGTACTTTTTTAAAAAAAGGAAGAAACACCATTTGACTAAAGCAAACAAATAAAAAAATGTTGTAAATGAGATAACAAAATTAAAAAAAAAAAAAAAGCAGACAAGTAGGCCAATTGCATTTTTGCCCACAAGGCTAGTCAATCATTTCCTCTTTACACAATAAATTCTAAGTGCCAGCCAAAGTTTTGTTTTGTCTTAACCCCAGAGCACCTGCCCAGCAGGGACTGAACTGGGTGGGGTTCTCTTCCACTACCCAAACCACCATCCAGCACGGCCCCACCACCAGAGTTCACTCACTCAGTGTGGAATGGGCCCAGTGCCCCTGGCTGCCTGCTAGAGAATAGCTGATCAGAGATGACCTGCTTTTTCCCACCAGAGAAGTTCACAGTTTTGCTCAGTGTCCCACATGTTACCACATCGTCACTCACACTCATTCATATTAAGAATTACCGATGTGTCACCTTGAAGACTCTGTTAGGGACTGAACTGTTTCCCCTCAAAATTTTTATGTTGAAGGCCTAAGCCACAGCTCAGCAAGTGACTGTATTTGGAGACAGGGCCTTTAAAAAGGTGAACAAGGGAAAAGGAGGTCATATGGGTGAGCCTTAATCCCAAAATCACTGGTGTCCTTATTAGAAGAGGACATTCGGACACACAGCCCCGCAGAGGGAAGGCCATGTGAAAACACAGAAAGAAAATGGCCATCTAACGAGCCAAGGAGAGAGGCCTCAGAACAAACCAGCCCTGGTGACACCTTCTTCAGACGTGCAGCCTCTAGACTGTGCAGGATATACATTTCTGTGGTTTAAGTTACCCAGCCTGTCATATTTTCTTATGGCAGCCTGAGTAAACTAATACAGACACACATATAGAAAATTCCAAACATTTCTCCCCTTAGGTTATGCTCAAGTCTTTTCTTTGGACAGAGTGCCATCTATAATTGCACATGCTCCCTACCCAGACATGCCACAAGCTCCAGACTAGAGCAAGCACAACAAGGTGTCTACTAAAGGCCCCTAAACGGGGAGAAAATGTGAATCCTTGATCTAAGTTCAGGATATGGTCATGAGCAACACACTGGAGAAATGCATATGTCTGCCAAGGTAAGGTACAAAGGCAGTACCAGAGCATGTGTACACAGCACAGCCTGTTATAAGGAACGCCATTCCCCGCCAGGAACCAGGGTGCCTGTCACGTCCCAGTGAAGGTCACCAGCAAACTGTCCCTCCTGTCTCTTGCCCTCCCAAGACGAGAAAACAATGGACACAAAATCAATTTCACGGGTGCCACAGAATGAAAAATATCAGATGGCACCTTAAGATAGGCCTTATTTCTTTTTTTTTTTTTTTTTTTTTTTTTTTTTTCCAGGCTGGAGTGCAGTGGCCGGATCTCAGCTCACTGCAAGCTCCGCCTCCCAGGTTCATGCCATTCTCCTGCCTCAGCCTCCCGAGTAGCTGGGACTACAGGCGCCCGCCACCTCGCCCGGCTAGTTTTTTGTATTTTTTAGTAGAGACGGGGTTTCACCGTGTCAGCCAGGATGGTCTCGATCTCCTGACCTCGTGATCCGCCCGTCTCGGCCTCCCAAAGTGCTGGGATTACAGGCTAGAGCCACCGCGCCTGGCCAAGATAGGCCTTATTTCATGAGGCAAATAAAGGTATGTACTATGGATTGGATCATGAGATGTATTTTTACTGCTGTAAGAGACAAATGATTAGAAAGCAGACAAGCATACCAGACTCTCTGACTCACAGCAATGACTAACAATCTTACGACTGTAACTCTGCAGGGACTATCCCAAGCCCTGCTGAAAAGGATGTTCCTGCAGCTCCCTGAAAGCCAAGTTCTTGCTGGAAATTAAAAACACCAACAACATCGGAGGCCTCGGCTGACCTGTCCTTGCGCACCAGCTTCAGTCCTTCCTGGGGCTGGCCAACATTGAACGCCTGGTCTCCTCTTACCAGGCAGGCGGCAGTGCCAGGGGGACAGGCCCGCAGCTGTGAACCTGGGTCTCGAAGTGTGTCTGAAAATCACGTATTACATTAAATCAGATTACGTGTCAGGAGTGATAACCACACATACCCTTAGATCCAGGGTCCCTTTAAACAAATTACTGAATTCCTAAAAGTTTCCCTAAGTAACTATTCTGAAACCTTGGGCAAGCCATTAACCCTCTGCAAACAAAGCTCAGGACGAAGGAACGTAAAGTACTGGCTCTGCACTGGTATATAAGAGGTGCCCAGGAAACGGGCTATGATGTTATTTGTAATTAACAAATGTACCCATCCTCTGCTTGAGGTACAACAACGTTAGCATTATCCCCTTTCAAGCTACAGAGACTAGAAAATGCAGGCACTCCACAGATGACTGGCACAATTAGGAGATTAGTGGAAAGAACCCACAGCTCTGGGTTCAAATCCTAAATTAACCACTTACTAGCTCTATAACGTTGGTCTAACTACGAAACTATCCAATTGCCAGTGTGCTAATGCACAGGTTTCGGGGAGGATTAAAGATGAGAACATACCCAGAATATGTCCAGAACATCATGCAGGCTTAATAGATTGCCAGTAGCAATAGCTATGATTACAGCTGGGTTGCTCTTTACCATTCATTTCTATGATCATGACCCAATACCTTACACAGTATACTTTGGGATTTATTTGTTGACTATGTATCTTTTCTCCCATCTAACTAAAGCTCCAGGAAAACAGGAACTGTGGTGTGTTCAATGCTATAATCCAGTGCCTAGATCAGCGCCTACCTTCTGCAATAAGGAGGCACCAGCTAGCGAAAAGGTAAGCAAACCTTTAACTCTCAAGCCTTCCAAACAATTATGAAATTATGTGGAATTATGAAATGTCACAAATGGACTGCTTTGTTCCACTTATACTATCTGTTGTGCCACAGGCTCCTTGCCCTCATGGGGACTCAATGTAAGACAATCCACTTGGTATACCAAAGGCAGAATATACGGCAAGCGCCCTGAGGATGCAAGGAGGTAAGCACGTGGTAGCAAGTCCAACACTATCCACAAGGGTTTGAAGGTCACATTTGATCTTGGTTTGAGACTTGGAGCAATTTCCTGGGAATGGAGAATGTCTGAGTAAAAACCAGGGAACCTCTACTATGAATCAAAGTCATTCAAGCTCAACTCAAATTGCCAGTAAATTGGAAAGAAAAAACTTTTGTAAGAAAATACCCAGCAAATTCAGATGATCTGTAACATGTTAAAAGACCAGAAACCTAAATGCTTTTCAAATCAAAATAGCATATTATTTCAGAATTCAATAATCTACAACTCATCAACTTTATACCAAACTTGAGTTACAGACCCATTTAAGACAAAGACTGTATTAGTCTTTTTCCAAAAAACCAATAAAGGTTATCCTTGGAGAACAAAAGAAAGATGTAATACTCTAACACACAAAAAAATCTAGTTATCACTGGTGACTTTTGGTGAGCCCTGAATGGGGTATATTTACTGTTTTTAACTGTTTAGAAACAATACACAAACAAGATAGTCATAATGTGTATGTACAATTTAAAGAATAATTATAAATTAATACTCATCTATTAACCAGCAATACCATGTATTGAGTTTTTAAAAATTTTCTCCAAACTTTTCTAAGGGTAAAGCATTATGTACTATTTGAGAAATAAAAAACAAAGAAAAACACTAAAAATGACCTTTTCATTAGTCACCACAGAATTTACTCATGGCTAGCACTGCAGAAAGACAAGACCTGGCCTACAGGACTAACAATTCACAGCCCTTGAGAGAAACATCAAGCTGGGTTTTAGAAACCTGGCTTAGTAAAACTAGCTGAAAGCTAGTCAAAGTCTTAGTAAAACTCTTCATGGCCCTTTTTAAATAAAGACCATTTATTTATGGCCTTTAGTTAATTTATCAAAGATTCTAAAGCTAAAGCTTCTCACACCAGTTCTGGCAAGTACAGAGAAAGTTAGGAACAAGTCAGTTTGGGTCAAAATACGCATCCCGGCCAAGTACCCAAGTCCTTGATCATCCTTTTTTCTTTTTTACCCAGCCCATAACTCAGAGCCAAGGGATTCAGGCACACAGAGAACAAGACCGACCCTCACTACTGTAGAATCCTGAAACCCAAGGTGTCTGGCCAAGAGAACACCCACATGGAATGGACCAACAGTTAGGATGGAATCTGCAGGGGTTGGGGAGGAGGCATGGAATCTACTAGGGGAGAAGAGGTGGGTTGTGCAAAGACAACATTTTTTGGGACAAAAGCTTTCTTAGAGGGCCTACTCAGAAACATGGATGTGCAAACAGAAATAAAGGTAGAAGCGCAAAGATATCGAAGCCACAGAAGAAATCCCTCACCACCACCCCCTCAGCTCCACAAAGATTCATACCTATGTCTCTACAAACATTGATGAATAGAGAAGTGTCCGGATCGGAGTCATCCACCAAGTAGGCACCACTAAGCTTGATCAGAGGATTGAGATCATGCTTCCTCAACTCTTCATCAAACACATAGCACGGCACCTGGAAGGGAGGAAGAGAAAAGCGAGTCTTCAATACACATCTGGCTCAATCAGGAAAGCTTATGGCCAACGTCACACAACACTGCTCTTCGTTCTTTAGGGACTATCACGCTATGGTGTCCCCTAATAACAAAAGAACTCGGGCAAAGGTCAATAAGCATCTTGGCTCCTCTGCGTTCTTTTCAGTATCTCTTCTTTGCTACATGAGGACTGTTACGCAATCATCTCTCACTTGCATCGCCAGGTTTTCCCTCCACTAGATCGTTTTTCTCAGCATGCCATGAGATCTACCACCTCACAAATGTCCTTCCTGGTACCTACATTCCCTCAGCTATCATCTCATGTCTCTGCAACTTAGAGCAAAATTCCTTCAATCGTCCCTACACATCTCCTCCTCTTCCTATCTTCCATTCTCTCTTGAACACAGTCACATCAGCTTGCTGTCTCCCACTCCATCAAAACCCCGCTTACCAGGTCACCCACATCTCTGCTGACACACCCAGCACTGGTGTCCTGACTTCCCGTTACATGGTCTCTCATGGCATTGGATGCTCCTGATCATTCCCCACCTCCTGAAACCCCTTCTCCCTGTGGCTTGCATCCACAGGCTCCTGGTTTTCTTCTGTACCACTGCCTGCTCTTTTTCAGCCTCCTGGAAACACCTCTCACCTTCCCTCTAACTGACTCTCAACGCAGAGGTGTGCCACAGCTTACTGAGCAGCCCTCTTTCCTGTCTACGCCCAGTCCCTTGGTGACCTCGTGCATGGTTACAAATGTCTGCCAATGACTCCCAATTTCATGTCTCTAGCCTTCACCTTTCCACAGAACTGCAGGCTTCCACAGCCAACAATAGCAGAAGCTATGTTTATAAGCACAGACTCGAAGCAGAATGCTTGGGGTTCAAACTCTGGCATGAACACTTTGCATAACCATGAATGAAGTTAACCTCCATGCCTCAGTTTCCCCACGTGCCATGCTGGAATAATGACAGTTATTCCTTCACAGGGCTGCTGTAAGGCCTGAGTGAGCTAAGGTATGTGAAGCTTGGGGTACAGCTCCTGGCAGGTTGGCATCAGTGTTATTTATTGCTGTTGTTTATCATCATCACTTGCATACACAAAACCATCTGAAATTTCACGTATTTAAAATGAGCCTTTGATTTCTCCCCCAAAATCTACTGTTGCCCCCACTGTTGCTCATCTCAACAAATGGCACCATCATTCAACCAGCTGCTTGGCCAAAACCTTGAGGACCCCGTCCCACCACCAAGTTCTCTCACATCCAACCATCGGCAAGTCCTGCTAGTTGTCCCTTCAGATTAAATCCTGGATCCACTCCCTTATCACCTCCACCATTGCCACTCTGTCCAAGCCACTGCAATCTCTTGCCTGCAATAGTATCTCAACTGGCCCCCCAATTCCAGCTTCAATGCCCTACGACCTCAGCCCAAGTCTCCACAAGCACAGGATTAGCACTTCAGAATTAAATCAGGCCACACCCCTCCCTGTTCAAAGCAGCTTCCCACTACACTGAGAAGGAGACTCAAACTCCCTCATGACACCGCCCTCACCTACCACTCTCCTCACTCCACACAGCCACACTCACCTCTTGATGCAACTCTGCCCTCCTGAAACTACAAGTCCTCTCTGCCTGAGATGTGCTTCCCCCAATACACACATGGCTCCTTCCCTCACTTCATTCACATCTCTGATGAAACACCACCCTTAGTGAGGCCTCTTCTGACACCTTTACCTAAAACAGCACTCTCCGCCTTTCTCTGTCTCCCACACTCAGCCTCACTTTTGTTCACAGCGCTGTGATGTATGATACTAGGTACTGTCATCTGTTGAGTTTTATCATTTTCCTCCCACTAGAATAGAGGCTCCTTGAGGTCAAGGGTTTGTCACTGCAGGCTAACAATGATGCCTCAAACATAGCGGGAGCTCAGTAAATATTTGTTCCATATTTGTTCCATAAACTGTGAAGATGAGTTCCTCCTCTGGGTATTTCAATCCATCCTTACTTGGTTCTAATTTATGACCAGTCTCTCATACCTATGAACTAATGGTCTTTTTATTTTAAAAAACATCAAGAAACCCCATTGTTAGAGTTGGCAAGACCCTGTGCTTTAAGAGGGTGCCTCTTTCTTTGTTTGTTTTATACAGACTCAGGAGGAACAAGTGCAGTTGTATTACATGGATAATGCACAGTGGTGAGGTCTGTGCTTTTAGTGTAACCAGCACTGGAATACTGTACATTGTACCCATTAGGGAATTTCTCATTTCTCATCCCTCACTGCCCTCCCACCCTCTCACCTTTCTGAAGCTCCAATATTTATTATTCCAGTCTCTGCGTCCATGTGTATGTATTATTTAGTTCCCACTTATAAGTGAGAATATGTGGTGTTTGACTAAGTTATTTCACTCAAGATAATGTCCTCAAGTTCCATCAATATTACTCCAAAACACAGGATTTCATTCTGTCTTATGGCTGAGTGGTATTCCATGATATACGTGTGTGTGTGTGTGTGTGTGTGTGTGCGCTCTTTACCTAGTCATCCGTTGGTGGACAGTTATGTGTATTCCATATCTTTGCTACTGTGAATAGTGCCACAATAAACAAATAAGTGCAGTTATCTTTTTGATACAGAGATTTCTTTTACTTTGTGTAGACACCCAGTAGTGAGAATTGCTGGGTCAAATGGTAGTTCTACTTTTAGTTCTTTGATTAATTTCCATACTATTTTCCATAAAGGTCATTCTAATTTACATTCCCACCAACAGTGTATAAGTGTTCTCTTTTTGTCTGCAACTTTGCCAACATCTGTTGTCTTTTGACTTTTTAATAATTGCCATTTTTGACTGGTATAAGACGGTGTCTCATTGTGGTTTTATAATGATTTGTATTTCTCTGATGATTAGTGATGTGTAGCATGTTTAGGAGATTCTTGGCCATTTGTGTCTTCTTTAGAGAAATGTTTGTTCATGTCCTTTGCTCACTTTTTAATGGGATTGTGGTTTTCCTTGTTGAGTTGTCTGCGTTCTTTGTAGATTCTGGATATCAATCCTTTGTTGGATGTATAGTTTAAAAACACTTGTGGCCATTTTGTATGTTGTCTGTTCACTTTGCTGACTATATATTTTGCTGTGCAGAAGTTTTTAAGTTAAGTCCATTTGTCTATTTTTATTTTTGTTGCATTTGCTTTTGAAGTCTTAGTCATGAATTCTTTGCCTAGGCAAAGATCCGAGAGTTTTTCCTGGGTTTTCTTCTGGGAATTTTATAGTTTCAGGCGGCCTTACATTCAAGTTGTTAATCCAACCTGAGTTATTTTTAAAATGTGGTGAGAGACAGGGGTCCAGGTTCATTCTTCTGCACATGGCTGTCCAGTTTTCCCAGAACCATTTACTGAACAGACTGTCCTTTCCCCAGTGTATGTTTTTGTCAACTGTGTCAAAGATCAGTTGGTTTTAAGTATGTAGCTTTGACTCTGAGTTTTTTATTCTGTTCCATTGATCTGTGTGACTATTTTTATATCAGCACCAGCTGTTTTGATTACTATAGCCCTCCACTATAATCTGAAGTCAGGTAATGTGATGCCTCTAGCTTGTTCATTTTCCTTAAGATTGGTTTGGCCATTAAGACTTTTTTGGGGGAACCACTTGAAGTTTAGGACTTTTTTCTAATTCCGTAAAAAATGATGTTGGCTTTTGATAGGAATTGCATTGAATCTGTGGATTGTTTTCGGCAACATAATCATTTTAATGATATTGATTTTTCCAATCCATGAGCATGAGATGTTTTCCCATTTGTTTGTGTCATCTACAATTTCTTTCATCAGTGTTTTATAGTTTTCCTTGTAGAGATTTTTCACCTCCTTAGTTAAATGTATTTCCAGTGGGGTTTTTTTTAGCAATTACAAATGGGATTGAGTTCTTGATTTGATTCTCAGCTTGATCATTATTGATGTGTAGAAATGTTATTGATTCTTGTACAATGACTCTGTATCCTGAAACTACTGAATTCATGTATCATATCTAAGAGACTTTTGGAGGAATCCAGAGTTTTCTAAGTGTAAGATCATATCATCAGCACACACAGACACGTTGACTTTCTCTTTTCTGATCTGGATGCCTTTTCTTTCTCTTGCCTCACTGCTCTAGCTAGAACTTCCAGTACTATGTTGAATAGGAGAGATGAAAAAGTGGGCATCATTGTCTTGTTCCACTTCTTAGGGGAAATGCTTTCAACTTTTCCCTGTTAGGTATGATGCTGGCTGTGGTTGTGTCATATATGCCTTTTATTATTCTGGGGTATGTCACTTCTAATAATTTTTTGAGTGTTTTTTTCATTAAGGGATGTTGAATTTCATCAAATGCTTTTTCTGTATCTCCTGAGATGGTCATACATTTTTTGTTTTTAATTGTTTAAATGGTGAATCGCATTTATTGATTTGCATACACTGAACCATCCTTGCAACCCTGGAATAAAACCCACTTGATCGTGATGTATTATTTTTCTGAAGTGCTGTTATATTCAGTTTGCTAGTATTTTGTTGAGACTTTTGAATCTAGGTTTATCATAGATATTGGTCTATAGTTTTCTTTTTTCCTTGTGTGCTTGTTTGGCTTTGGTCTTCAGGATAATACTGGCTTCAAAGAATGAGTTAGGGAGGATTGTTCCCTCTGATTTTTGGGAACAGTTTCAGTAGGATTTGTACCAGTTCTCCCCTGTGCCTCTGGTAGAATTCAGCTGTCAATCTGTCTGGTACTGAGCTTTTTTTGTTGGGAGGAGTTTTTTAAAAAAATTACTGATTCAGTTCCAATACTTGTTATTGATCTTTTTGGAATTTCTATTTCTTCCTGGTTGAATCTCAAGAAGTTGAATGTTTTCAGGAATGTATACATTTCCTCTAAATTCTCGGTTGTGAGTACACAGATGTTCATAGTAGTCTCTGATGATTTTTTTGTGGTATCAGCTGTAACGTCTACTTTCTCATTTCTG